ACAAACAGGGGGAGTGGGAGAGGGAGAAGCAGGCTTCCTGTGGAGCAGGGAACCTGATGTGGGACTCAATCCCAGTACCCTAGCTGGGATCAGAACCTGAGCCAAAGGCAGCCGCTTACCTGACTGAGTCACCCAGGTGCTCCTTCCTAATATTTCGTTGAGGATTTTTGTATCTATGTCCATCAGAGATATTGGTTTGTAGTATGAGTGGGGGGGGCGCTTTTTGTGTTGATGTCTTTGTCTGGTTTTGGTATCAGGGTAATAGTGTCCTTGTAGAAGGTATTTGGGAGCTTTCCTTCCTCTTTTATTTTTTCCCCTCTGAATAGTTTGAGAAGAATAAGTATTAACTCTTCTATAACTATCTGGTAGAATTCACTTGTGAATCCATCTATTCCTGGACTTTATTTTTTTGTAGTTTCTTCTTTTTTTTTAAGATTTTATTTATTTATTCGACAGGAAGAGACACAGAGAGAGAACACAAGCAGGGGAAGGGCAGAGGGAGAAGCAGGCTTCCCTCTGAGTAGGGAACCCGATGTGGGGCTTGCAGGACACTGGGATCATGACCCAAGCTGAAGGCAGACACTCAACAACTGAGCCCCCCCAGGTGCCCCTTTTGGTAGTTTTTTGATTACTGATTCAGTTTTGTTACTTGCAGTTGGTCTACTCAGATTTTTTATTCTTGGTTTAGTTTTGGAAGATTGTATGTTTCTAGGAGTTAATTCATTTTTTCTAGGTTGTCCAGTTTGTTGGCATATAATTTTTCATAATATTATCATAATCCTTTGTATCTTTCTGGAGTCAATTGTTACTTTTCCTCTCTCATTTCTGATTTTTATTTGGGTCTGTTCTCTTCTTTAAAAAATTATTTTTATTAACATATAATGTTTATTTGCCCCAGGGGTACAGGTCTGTGAATCATCAGGCTTACAAACTTCACAGCATTCACCATAGCACATACCGTCCCCAGTGTCCATAACCCAACCTATCCTACCACTGCCCCAGCAACCCTTAGTTTGTTTTGTGAGATTAAGAGTCTCTTCTGGTTTGTCTTCCTCCCAATCCCATCTTGTTTCATTTTGGGTCTGTTCTCTTTTTTGTTTGGTCTGGCTAAGGATTGGTCAATTATGTCTTTTCTATTGTTTTTTATAGTATGTACGTCTTTTATTTCAGCTCTAATCTTTATTATTTCCTTTATTCTACTTACCTTGATGTTTGTTTATTCTTCTTTTCCTAGGACCTTTAGGCATATGGTTAGATTGTTTAAGATTTATCTTGTTCCTTGAGATAGTCCAGTATTACTATATACTTCTCTCTCAGAACTGCTTTCTTTGTGTCCCAGAGGTTTTGGACTATACATTTTCATTTTCATTTGTCACCATATATCTTTTTTTAAATTTCTTTGATTGCTTCACTGACTCCTTGGAATTTTAGTGTCATGTTGTCTAGTCTCCTTGTGCTTGTGGTTTTTTCCCAGTTTTTTTTTTCTTGTGATTGATTTCTAGTTTCATACTATTGTGGTCAGAAAAGATGCATATGAGTTCAATCTTCTAAATTTGCTGAGGCTTATTTTATGGCCTACTATGTGATCTATTCTAGAGAATATTCCATGTGTACTTGAAAAGAATGTGTATTCTGGTTTTGGATAGAATGTTCTGTATGTATCTGTTCATCTGGTCCAATATGCCATTCAGAGACACTCTTTCCTTATTAATTTGCTGCCGGGATGATCCACTGATGTAAGTAGAGTGTTAAAGTCCCCTACTATTATCGTCTTACTGTCACTTTTTCTTAATGTCCATTAATATTTGCTTCATGTATTTAGGTGTTTCAGTGTTGGGTGAGTAGATGTTTACAATTGTTATATCCTCTTGTTGGATTGATTCCTTTATTTAATGTCCTCCTTTGTCTCTTATTATAGTTTTTATTTTTAAGTCTATTATGTGTGATGTAAATGTTGCTATGGCTTTTTTGTCACTTCCATTTGTATGGTGAATGTTTCTCCATCCTTTCCCTTTCGGTCCATATGGGTCTTTAGGTCTGATATAAGTCTTTCATAGGCATCATATTAGGTGGATATTGTTTTTTTTTGTTCATTCCACCACTCTCTCTTTTCATTGTAGCATTTATGCCATTTACATTTAAAGTAATTATTGATAGATATGTGGTAATTGCCATTTTTAAAATTTGTTTTCTGGTTGTTTTTGTATATCTTCTCTTGCTCTCTTTGTGATTATTTGTAGTTTTTTGTTTGGCTTTGTCTTTATTTTTTGTGTATCCACCATAGGTTTTGGGTCTGTGGTTACCATGAGGTTCATATATACCATCCTAAGTAAATAACTGCTCATATTAATTTGTTGGTTATTTAAGTTCAAACATATTAAAAAAAAATTTTTAATTAGGAAAGAAAACTTTTTCCCCTTCTCTTCCCTTTTTCAGTCTCCTCTCCAAATTTTATGTATATGCTATCATATTTTACATCTTCTTGTTCATATTTTTCTGATCTTTTTTGAAGTTATTTATTTATTTGTTTATTTGACAGAGAGAGAGAGAGAGAGAGAGAGAGAGAGAAAGCACAAGTAGGCAGAGGGCAGGCAGAGGGAGAGAGAGAAGCAGTCTTCCTGCTGAACAGGGAGCCCAACCAGGGCTTGATCTCAGGACCCTGGGATCATGACCTGAACGGAAGGCAGCTGCTTAACTAAGCCACCCAGGTCCCCCTCTTAGGTCTTAATGGACATTTCTTTTCCACTTAAAGAAGTTTCTTTCACTTTTCTTTCTTTCTTTTTTTTTTTTTTTAGATTTTATATATTTATTTGACAGAGAGAGATCACAAGTAGGCAGAGAAGCAGGCAGAGAGAGAGGAGGAAGCAGGCTCCCCACTGAGCAGAGAGCCCAATACGGGGCTCGATCCTAGGACCCTGGGATCATAACCTGAGCCAAAGGCAGAGGCTTTAATCCACTGAGCCACCCAGGTGCCCCTTCTTTCACATTTCTTTTTTTTTTTTTAAGATTTTATTTATTTATTTGACAGAGATCACAAGCAGGCAGAGAGAGAGGAGGGAGCAGGCTCCCTGCTGAGCAGAGAGCCCAGTGTGGGGCTTGATCCCAGGACCCTGTGATCATGACCTGAGCCAAAGGCAGAGGCTTTAACCCACTGAGCCACCCAGGCACCCCTTCTTTCACATTTCTTATAAGGCTGGTTTAGTGGTAATAAACTACTATCTGTATATTTTGTTTGGGAAACTTTTTTTTTAATTTTTAAAAAAGTTTTTATATTCCCATTAGTTAACATACAGTGTTCTATTAGTTTCATGTGCACAGTATAGTGATTCAACAATTCCATATATCACCCAGTGCTCATCACACGTGTACTTTTTAATCCCTGTCACCTATTTAACCCACTTACCTCCCTTTAGTAGCCATCAATTTGTTTTCTGTAGTTAAGGTCTGTTTACTGGTTTGTCTCTCTTTTTCTCTCTTTGCTTGTTTGCTCTGTCAAATTCTACATGTGAGTGAAATCATACAGAATTTGTTTTTCTCTGACTTATTTTGCTTAGCTAGTATACTCTCTACTCCATCCATTTTGTTCCAGATGTCAAGATTTTATTCTTTCTTATAGCTAAGTAATATTTGTATCTGTGTGTGTGTGTGTGTGTGTGTATGCATGTCAGATCTTCTTTATCCATTCATTAGTCTATGGACATATGGGCTGTTTCCATAATTTGGCAATCGTAGATAACACTGCTGTACACACCAGGGTGCGTATATATCCCTTTGAATTAGTATTTTTGTATTCTTTTTTTTAAAAGATTTTATTTATTTATTTGACAGAGAGAGACACAGTGAGAGAGGGAACACAGCAGAGAGAGAGGGAGAAGCAGGCTTCCTGCAGAGCAGGGATCCCAGTGCGGGCTTGATCCCAGGACCCTGAGCCGAAGGCAGATGCCTAACAACTGCGCCACCCAGGTTACCGTATTTTTGTATTCTTTGGGTAAATACCTGGTTATGCAATTGCTAGATCATGGTTCTATTTTTAACTTTTTGAGGAAACTCCATATTCTTTTCCAGAGTGGCTGTACCAATTTGCATTCCCACTAACAGTGCACAAGTGTTGGGTTTTTTTCCATATCTTGTCAATACCTGTTATTTCTTGTGTTGTTGATGTTGGGAGTTTTTTGGTTACTGATTCAATTTCTTTCCTAATTGTCAGTCTGTTCAAATGTTCTGTTTCTTCCTGTTTCAGTTCTGGTAATTTATATGTTTCTAGGAATTTATCTATTTTTGTCTAGGTTGTCCAATTTGTTGGCATTTACTTTTTCATAATATTTTCTTATAATTGCTTGTTTTTCTGTGTGTTGGTTTTGTTATTTCTCTTCTCCCATTTGTGATTTTATTTATTTGAGTCCTTTCTCCTTTTTTCTTGATAAATTTGGCTAGAGGTTTATCAGTCTTATTGATATTTTCCCAAAGAACTGGCTCCTGGTTTCATCTGTCCTGTTGAGTTTTTTCATTTCTATATCATTTATTTCTGCTCTAATCTTTATTATTTCCTTCCTCCTGATGGTTTTGTTTGTTCTTCTTTGTCTAGCTCCTTTAGATATAAGGTTAGGTTGTTTATTTGAGATTTTTCTTGCTTCTTGAGGGTAGGCTTGTATTGTTATAACCTCGCTCTTAGAACCATTTTTGCTGCATTGCAAAGGTTTTGGACCATTGTATTTTCACACTTATCTCCATGAACTTTACTTCTTTTATTTCCTGGTTGACTCATTCATTGTTTAGTAAGTAGCATGTTATTTAACCTCCATCTCTTTGTGGTCTTTGCAGATTTTTTTCTTGTGCTTGACTTCTAGTTTCATAGCCTTGTGGTTAGAAAAGATGCACAGGATGACTTTGATCTTCTGGAATTTGTTGAGGCTTGTTTTGTGGGCTACTATGTAATCTGTTCTGGAGAATGTTCCATGTGCACTTGTAAAGAATGTGCATTCTGCTTTAGGATGGAATGTTCTGACTATAGCTGTTAAATCTTTCTAATCTAGGGTGTCATTCAAAGCCATTGTTTCTTTGTCGATTTTCTCTTTAGACGATCTGTTCATTGAGGTAAGTGGGGTGTTAGTCTTCTGTTACTGTATTATTATTGACTCATTCCTTTATGTTATTTACTGTTTTATGTATTTGGGTGCTCCTAAGTTGAGTGCATAAATACTTAGAGTTGTTATGTCTTCTCCTCTGTTATTTTGTCCTTCTTTATCTTCTAGCAGGACAGCTATAGTTAAGTGGGTGCAAGCTGAGGTATTCCAGGGTTCTTAGTGTGTGGGGTGCCCTGGTGGGGTGATTAGAGTCAGGGCTAGCATGGGCCAGGTTGTCCTGAGGTCCTCTAGCCCTGAGGACAGACATCCTGGTAGAGAGTAGTCTAGGGGTGCTCGGGTTGTCTATACAGGGAGAGCCTTGGTGGGGCAGCTAGAACTGAGGGAGGCACTGGCCAGGCCTTCCTGGGGTGCTCTGCATAGGGGGAGGTTTGGTGGGGCAGCTAGAGCCAAGGCAGGCATGAGCCAGAAGGTCCTAGATTGCTTTGTGCCATAGGTGCCGTGGCAAGCTGTCTGGAGCCAAAGTGGTGTGGGCCTGGAGTGTTCTGGGGTGCGTTGCACCTTGGTGTGATAGCTAGAGCTGCAATGAGCCCGGACCAGGGAGTTCTGGGGCTGCCTTGGTGGGGCAGCTGGGGCTGGGGTCATTTAGGGCAAGGGCTCACCGAGGCGGTAAGCCAGCGGTGGCACCCAGGCCTTGTTCCTGTCCATTGTGGAGTGGGAATATAAATCATGGTGCTCACCAGCCCTTCTGGTCCGGAGAGAGTTCCCCCACCATTTGGTGGAGTTTTATGACTGGCTCTTTTATATTTTAGTTGCTCTTCTATTTTATTTCATTTTGATTTTTTAAAAGATTTTATTTCTTTATTTGAGAGAGAGATAGGGAGCACGAGCAGGGGGAGGGGCAGAGGGACAGGGCTTCACCAGCTGAACCACCCAGGTGCCTCTAGTTGCTCTTTTATTTTTTTAAAAAAGATTTTATTTATTTATTTATTTGACAGAGATCACAAGTAGGCAGAGAGGCAGGCAGAGAGAGAGGAAGGGAAGCAGGCTCCCCACTGAGCAGAGAGCCCGATGCCAGACTCGATCCCAGGACCCTATCCCAGGACCCTGAGATCATGACCTGAGCCAAAGGCAGAGATTTAACCCACTGAGCCACCCAGGCGCCTTCTAGATGCTCTTTTAAACACTGGTTGTTGTTTTTTTCTGTGCCCCAGGGCATTCGGGGCTGGTGTGGGTGAAGGCCCAGGGCTCGCTGAGGCAGCCAGCCGGTTATGCTGCTTGGACTCTGTTCCCATGTGCACCATCAGGGTGAGGGGGAGCATAAACCACGGCACTCATGTGCCTCTCAGACCCGGAGAGAGTTCCAGGGCTGGTTCCTATATATTCTAGTTCTCCTTTTAAAACACAGCTTTTTGGTGGCCGGGGCAGGGGGCTACCTGGGTGGCTCAGTGGGTTAAGCATCTGCCTTTGGCTCAGGTCATGATCCTGGGGTTCTAGGATTGAGTCCCACATGGGGCTTCCTGCTCAGTGGGGAGCTTGCTTTTCCCTCTCCCTCTGCCTGCTGCTCCCCCTGCTTGTGCTCTCTCTTTGTATCAAATACATAAATAAAACCTTAAAAAAAAAACAACAAAAAAAACACACAGCTTTTGTGTGTGTGTGTGTGTGTGTGTGTGTGTGTGTGTGTGTGTGAGATAAGGGAAGCAGATCTGCTTACCATCTCTCAGCACCTCCCTCCTCGCTGACCTTTGCGTGAGAGGGATAGTTGGTCCCTTCACAAGTGTGTTTCCATCTCCCATGCTATTCTCAGTGTGGTCTTTTCTTTGTGCAGAAGTTGTTCAGTCAGCCATCACTTCCTCCTCAGGAGGAATTGCTTTATGAAAAGATGTAGATTTGGTGTGTCCCTGGAGGGGGTGGGTTCAGGGTGTTCCTGCATTACCGTCTTGGATCAGAACTTAGGGATCATTTAATGTACACAGCACAGAGGTGCTTCGGAATCAGGAATTTAAAAGGAATATTCCTAGACCTCAAGGAACCCAGACTTTAATAGAGGGAAATCGATGTGTAAAAACTTTAAAATTGTCTGTGATAACAGATGAGGAGAACAAAGGCAAGAAAAATGCAGCTAAAATTAAATTTCCTTATAGTTTTTAGCCCACTGATAAATACCTGAGGGTTACAGAGCATGACATTCCTCAAGGACTCATGACTGCCTTCATGTTAATTTTTTTAAAGATTTTATTTGAGAGAGAGCGAGCACGTGAGTGTGTGCACAAGTTGGGGGAGGGGCAGAGGGAGAAGCAGGCTCCCTGTTGACCGGGGAGCAGGATGTAGGGCTTGATCTCGGGACCCTGGGATCATGACCTGAGCCCTACACAGACACTTAACCCACTGAGCCACCCAGGGGCCCCAGTGTTAATATTTTGCCAGAGACTAAAATTACCTTATCTTGACAATAATAGTTAGATCTCCAGATCCTGTCATTCTTCTTTAACATGTGGAAATCCCTTTAGAGACTTACGGTATCTCTGGGCACCACCCCTCCAAACTTCAGCCACTCTTCACAATCACAACTGCAGCTATCTGTCCACAGGTCCTGTGCCTGTGCTATAATCATCTTTTTACACTGAAAAATGTCTTAAGAATTCTTTTTTGAGCGTTGTGCTTGATGGCCCCACATCATTTTTGGTGTCCCCTGTATACAGGGATTCTGCATCATCCTTCATTTGGACTTCGAGCCTCAGTGCAAACTTGATGAGTTACTAATGCTCAGGCTCCCATGGGAGGTTTCCTCCTCATTAGTCTAATGTGATCCCCTCCACATTTCTGGTTTAGCAACTTCTGCCCAGGAGACCTCTGCCTACAGCTGGCTAAAACAGGTGCCCTGACTGAATTAAAACTCAGCCAGGGACCATTTCCTGGGGAAGTCAGCTATCAAGACCACATGTGTTGGAATGTCACTTAGACCATGATGGATTTCCATCTTTACTATTCTTCCTCAGTGTCCTCTACTGACAATTTAAATTGTAACATTAGGTATTTCCTCCTGCAAATTGTTAGCATCTCCAAGGGTTAAGATGGCAGGCTCTGTTGGTTCACCTACTGACACCTGTTGTGTCCTGGGAAAAACAACAGGGAAGCGAAGAGATGTTGACATCCCTCCAGTTAAATAAGTCAGTATTTTAACAGCTTTTTGAAGGATGCCTCTGGTCTCTCTGAATACTAGGAACCCTTGCCATAATCCTGAATGGGATGCCATCAAGCAGTCCAGGAGGGATTATGATAATGGACTTTTCTCCTTTTATGGGAATGGAATTTTCCTCTTGGGGGTGTCTTCCTCCCTTGGGGTATCTCTTAACCCATTGGAACAGATTTGGATTGCAAGATTTAAAAAGAAGAAAGGACTCATCATCTTCTGCAATAATGCATGGTCTCAGTACTCCTTAGGAGTTGAGGGGGAAAAATAGCCCAATAATGGGACAACAGACTTCAGTAGTACATACCAGTTAGATCTCTTCTGCAGGAAACAAGGCAAGAGGATTGAAGTGCCCTATGTCCAGGCCTTCATGGCCTTAAGTTAAGATCCTGACTTCAGGGCTTCTTGCAAAATTTGTTCCGCCATTAAACAAGCTAATGAATCCCCCCAACATATTGGACGATGACGGTCTGAATAGGCCCCCTCCTCCCAAAGAACTTGGGCTCTGGGAGGAATCACCAGCCAGTTCAAAGAAGACATTGAATCTGTTACTATCCCTCCTCCTTAAAAGCCCCAAGACCCTTCTGCTCCAGCTGGGAGTAGAATTCCCTGTCTTCTGGGAGCTCCTTCTAAACCTGGACTATATCCTGTCAGGGAGGTTGCTAATGGAGACAGTGGACGTGATTAGAGTCCATGTCCCATTATCCATGGCAGACTTGGCTCAGATAAAACAATTAGGATGATATTCTGAAAACTCTTCTCAATTTATTGAGGGTTTTCAGCAATTATCTGTTAGGTTTGAACTCATTGTTGTACCCCTGAGGAAAAGAACCCTGTCTGGGCAGGGGCTCAAGAATTTGTTGATGAACTAGCAGCCAGAGATGGAGATAGAGATGGTGGGAGGTGTTGCTATCCCAAATACCCAACCACATTGGCATTATCAAGGAGGGGAAAGATGAGTCCAAATGATAACTTAATAGAGGAATGAAAAAAAGTATTTGATAAACCTGTAAGCTTTGTTAAAATTCATGGAATTACTCAAGGAGCTGATAAAAATCTAGCTCTATTTCAAGGTCATTTGCTAGCAGCCATCCTTACATATACAAATCTGGACTCCATCTCACCTGAGGGAACAGTTAGATTATGCATGCATTTTATAAGTCAGTTGGAGCCTGACATCCACTGAAAATTGACTAGAGTGATTTTAGGTCCTCAAACTCCCACCCAGCACCTACTAAAGTTCACTACTGGAGTTTTTAATAATAGAAAGTTTTAAGACAGGGAAAGGACCGGAGAGCTAAGCTGCAGGGTAAAATACAGGTTCAAATATTGGCTGCCGCTCTTCGCGGATCCCCCACAACACCAGACTAACCAGGGGCCAAAGAAAAAGCCGGCATCAGACCAAGGACCAGGTAAGACCCATGCTATGGGTGTGGCCAGATTGGACATTGGAGCAAGGAATGTCCAAAAAAAGCTCTCCACCGGGGCCATGTCCTGTCTGTAAGGAAGAAGGACATTGGAAGAGAGACTGTCCTCATCTCCAGAGAGAGAGGAAGACAGGAACTCACTTCTTCGCCTGAGAGCAGGAACCTGAGGATCTGGCATGATGGGGCCCTGAGGCTGGTCCGGCTGCCTTTGACATCCAGATGACTGAGCCCCAGGTTACCCTGGATGTGGAAGGTAAGTTTGTCAATATCCTTATTGGTACAGGAGCCATTTACTCTGTTTTTTACTCAGCACTCAGCCCCTAGTTATCTTTCTCTCTCTCTCTCTCTTTCTTTGTTTCTTTCATTTATTTATTTATTTTTTTTTTTTAGAGAGAGTGAGTGGAGGGGGGAGGTGTACAGGGAGAGAGAGAATCCCAGGTAGGCTCTACATTCGGCATGTAACCCAACTCAGGGTTTGATCTCGTGACCCCAAGATCATGACCTGAGTGGAAACCAAGGGTAGGATGCCTAACCCCAACCACCCCAGCCCTAATTGTCTTTCTAACCACAATATTGTTGGCATAGAAGGGGAAACTAAAATGAAATGTCAGACAATTCCTTTAACTTGTAAATATAGAAGTCAGTTGGAGACTCGTGTTTTTCTAGTCCTTCCATATTGTCCCACTCCATCACTTGGAAGAGACTTAACACATAAACTAGGAAGCAGGTTTGCTCTTACTAAAGAGGAGAATGGCTTTTCTCTTTAACACTTGGAGAATTAAAACCTTGCCCTGTTAATCCCTTCTAATATTTGGAAGGAAGTAAATCCACAGGTCTGGGATTGCAGTGTCCCAGGACAGGCTCTTAAAGACCAACTAGTTAAAATGACCTTAAAGGATCCAACCACTATATGTCATAAAAAAAATAGATATATCCCTTAAAACCTGAGGTAAAAGCTGGGTTATAATCACTTATTGGTAAGTTTCTCAAACATGGTATGTTAAGGCCTTGTCAATCTCCTTATAATTCTCCAAGTTTACCAGTTAAAAGGCAAATGGAGACTATTGAATGGCATAAGATTCAAGGGCAATAAATGAAGCTGTTGTACCTATTTATCCCATAGTGCCAAATCCCTATACTATTCTCACCCAGGTCCCTGGGGATGCTAACTGGCTTACAGCACTTGACTTAAAAGACACCTTCTTTTGCAGCCTTCTAAGTGAAGAAACACAGCCACTACTTTCTGTTGAATAGGCCTCACGTTCAAGCCCAGAGGCTGCTCAGTAAACTTGGACAGTCTTGCCATGAGGATTTAGAGACTGTCCTCACCTATTTGGGGCTGCACTTAGTAAAGACTTTGGTGATAGATCCTTGATCTATCATGCCCTTGAGGGACGATAATTCAATATGTGGATATTTTACTCTATAGTCCCACAAAAGAAATATCTGAGAGTAATTCTGTAACTTTTAATTTTTTTTTAGGATTTTATTTATTTATTTACCTGACAGAGATCACAAGCAGGCAGAGAGGCAGGCAGAGACGGGGGTGGGGGGTGTGGTGGGGGGAAGCAGGCTCCCCGCTGAGCAGAGAGCCCAATGCGGGGCTCGATCCCAGGACCCTGGGATCATGACCTGAGCTGAAAGCAGAGGCTTTAACCCACTGAGTCACCCAGGCGCCCCTATAATTTTTTATTTCTTGGTAAATGGGATAGCATGTTTCTTTTAAGAAGCACAGATATCTAAACAAAAGGTGCACTCATCTGTGATACGAATTAACCCAGGCTCACCATACCCTGTCCGCTGATAGGAAAAAGACTGTTATCTCAGACCCTCTGCTACAAAAAAACAACTCCATATTTTCCCAGCTGTGGCAGGATTTTGCCACCTATGGATGGCTGGATTTGGGTTCTTCGAATCATTGCATGATTCAGTTAAAGGCCCTGATAAGGAACATTTACTCTGGACTAAAGCCCAGCAGACAGCCTTTCAAACATTAAAAGCTAACCTTTTGTCGGCCTCAGCTTTGGCTTTACCAAATTTAGAAAAACCTTTTACTTTGTCTATAGCAGAAAAACAAGGACAAGCTTTGGGGCTGCTTACCCAGAAATTAGGGAACAAAACAAGAGTGCTGAGGTGTTTTTCCAAGGCCCTTGATAACTATAGCGTCAGGGTGGCTGGCTTGTCCTCAAGTGGTGGCTGCAGCAGCTCTCCTGGTAGAAGCAGCTTCAGAACTTACTGTGGGACAGTCCTTGACAGTGGTGACTCCACATCAGGTGCACAGTGTCCTAGAGACCAAAGGTGACCAATGGATGACAAGAGGCGGACGTACTAAATGCCAGGCTATGTTTACAGATATGTCTGAAATAATACTTAAAACCTGTCAAACTTTAAACCCAGCTACCCTGATGCCTGGACCTGACCATCTGACTTCTATGTTAGGACATGACTGCTTAGAAATTATTGATTTTGATTATTTTAGCTGACCAGACTTAAAAGATTCCCCCTATTGAAAATGCAGCGGATAGTAGATTTACCAATGGCAGTAGCTTCATGGATAAGGGAGAAGGAGAAGTCACTTATGTTGTAGTTAGCTTAATTAAGACCATTGAGGCCAAAGCCCTTCCAGTAAATACATCTGCCCAAAAGGCTAAATTAATAGCACTTACCCCTGCTCATCAATTGGCAAAAGGCCTGAAAGTTAATATTTATACTGATACCTATGATTTTTCCTGGTGCTACATGCCCATGGAGCAATTTGGAAAGAAAGGGGATTACTATCAAGTCAGCTCCTCAGATAAGGGCCTGAAATAATTACCCTTCTTGAGGCCATAAATCTACCTACAGGGGTGGCTGTAATTCATCTCAAAGGACATCAAAAGGATAGGACCTTGGAATCTAAAGGAAACAGTTTGGCTGACAGACAGCACAAAATTAACAAATATTAAGTCTTACATCAGTTTTAACTCCAATTATTTACTTAAGTGGTGGGGGGGGCAGACAGGGGGAAGGGCAGAGGGTGAGGATGAGAGAGAATCTTAAGCTTAGAGGCTTGATCTCACGAGCCTGAGATCATAACCTGAAGTGAAATAAAGAGCACTTAACTGACTGAGCCCTCCAGGTGCCCCCATATCGTCAGATTGTTTAGACCAAGAGATTCACGTGGCCTGGAAACAAGTATATTTTAAAAAATGCACAGGACTGCCTTGTTAATGATGGGAACATCTCCATACCCAAAAATAGCTGATGGGAGGTAAAATACAGGTTTACACCAGGCTAGTCATTTGGGCAAAAAAACGCTTTAGAACGTTTAATAAAAAATATATTTGGTGGCATAAATTTAACAACTATAAAACAGATCTGTCGATCCTGTATTGTTTGTGTACAAGTAAATCTGGAAAGAGCTGTCCATCCCGCCTCCCCCCACTTTTGACACCAGTCCAAAGACATGGAACGTATCCAGGAGAGGACTGGCAGCTTGATTTCACACAGCTGCCTCCTTGCAAAGGCTCTAAGTTCCTACTAGTGTTGGTTGATACTTTCACTGGCTGGGTCAAGGCCTTTCAGTATAAAACTGAAAGAGCCATGGAAGTAACCAGAGTTTCATTGTGTGACATTATTCCTAGATCTGGCCTTCCACGGACCCTTCAAAGTGGCAACAGACCTTTTACTGCACAAATGACAAATAGCACAGGGAGCTATTAAATATTAAAATAATTAAATATTTTCTATATCCACAATCCTCTGGAAAGATAGAGAAAGCTAATCCTACTTTAAAACAGCACCTTACTAAGTCTAGAGACCCAGGAAGATTGGTTTACTCTCTTATCACTAAGATTTCTCAGAATGAGAACTGCTCCAGAAGAACCTATAGGTTATGAGATATTATACGGAAAACCATTTCTTACAGTGGACCTGTGATAAGATAAAGATCATAACACTTTATGTAATGACTCATTTGAGGCTGGTTTAATTCCTAAGTTACTTAACAAATATGCTGATGACATGCTTCCCAAACCTGACTGAACTATAACTGAAAGCCCAGCCCATGCCAGCCCTGGAGACACGGCTTCTTTCCAGGATTGGAAGTCAAGTGCAGTGGGGGACTTAAATCTAAAATAGAAGAGTTGATGTCGGGTCATATTATGTACTTCTACTGCAGGAAAATTAAGGGGACACTCTTCTTGGACTCTTGGATCTAAAATAAAACCTGTACTTCCTTCATAGGAAACCAGTGAACAAACTACCATGCCTTCTTACTCCTGTGAACCTTTAGAAGATTTGAAACTCCTCTTCAAACGACTATGAAGGTTGTATATTTTCTTTTTGTTCTTTGTTCACCAACATTAAGAGACAGTGCCTTTCTACAATGGGCTGAACTTCAAAATCAAACAATTTGTTGGCTGTGTGGAATTATGCCCATGTCAAGTACATTCAAGTTACCCTGGTGTGTTTCTCCTTTACAAGGTACTGACTGGCACTCCTTATACACTTATATTTTAGATATGATACATAATCCTAACACCAGCATATATTGTGATAATTCTATCACTTTAAAAAAGTGTTTCTTCTTGGCCCATGATCAGTATGACTTGGAACTTTCCAGGTCATAGCCAGACTTTTTGAGTCTGGTGTTTTTTTTTTTTTAAGATTTTATTTATTTATTTGACAGAGATCACAAGTAGAGAGGCAGGCAGAAGGAAAGGGGGAAGCAGGCTCCCTGCTGAGCAGAGAGTCCGATGCAGGGCTCAATCCCAGGACCCTGGGATCATGACCTAAGCCAAAGGCAGAGGTTTAACCCGCTGAGCCACTCAAGCGCCCCTCAAACTATTAAGGTTTTAACTGAATTCACAAGCCTACAAATTAGTGTCTGTCAATGAGTGCTTAGATTACAAAACCCTGCTTCTCAATATACCTATGATGGTATATACCAAATCTGGGATGATGATTTATGGTTCACACCAACTTCTGGACAATGCAATCAAAGGGCAGTTTTATGCTGACTACAAAGAAATACATGTGATACCTGGACAGCATTTGAGATGGCTATTGCTAGAAGATGCTCTCAAGCCATTGTACTCCAGGTTACCGATTAGTTTGCTACTGGCTGAGCAAGGCAACCCAGAATTAGATGGCTGGCTCCAAATGGCCCCTGATGGTTACATGGCTCTAACCCATGGCCCTGGTTTCCTCTGGGATGGACGTGTCATTGTACCTTGGGTTTTGCTTGGATTCATGGGCGCGTTATCAAAACCATCACTACTCTGGCTAATCTTCCAAATTTAAAACAATGATAGACACAATCACTGTTTCACTGGTATGATCATTTAACATCCATCTTTGTTCCCTCGATGGAACTGGAGGATGTCATTTGGCATATGGAATCCCTTACCGAAAGCACTATAAAAGCACTAAATGATTCACAAAGCAGTATTTCCTTACCTAATGCTGAAGTTACACAGAGGCTCAAAGCACTTCTACAAAATCAAATGGCCTTCGGTATTTAACAGCTGCACAAAGCGATACCAACCCTGTTATTAAAATGGAATATTGTTTATATATTCCAGTTCATCACAGAAAGGTAACAGGATTGCTAAAAGATATGAATACTCAAATTGGCACTTTACACGATCCCTCCCTCTCCTTTAATGATTGGCTAAACTCCTGGACTGGAGGAGGATCTTGATCAACTATCAAAGGTCTTTTTGTTGGGCTTCTTTTTCTTGTAACAATATCCATCTTCTTTTGTTGTTTTTTTCCAGTGTCTCCCTGCCTGGTCTCCCTGGGGAGACTCTTCCAACTGCCGTTACTTCAAGCTGACCGATGATCTTTTCTACTTGAGGAGATTTGCATGGGTTTGTCTACCTTGGATTCGGCTGCCTCTGCCTTTGGTAACTCCTCTGTATAAATTCCCCAACTGACCGATGTTGACTTGTAGGTAGGGACATCGCTGTTCCCCTCTTCAGCAGAAAGAAGTTACAGAAGATAAAAACCTTCCAGCCTCAGCAACCTTAAAGATTGAAGGGTCAAAATTGTTCGGGGGTCGGGGGGAGGATGATGAGGAGAACAAAGGCAAGAGAAATGCAGCTAAAATTAAATTACCTCACAGTTTTCAGCCCACTGGTAAATACACAAGACCTGCAGAGCATGACATTCCTCAAGGAACTCGTGGCTGCCTTCATGTTAATGTTTTGCTAGAGACTAAAAGCAACCTTGTCTTGATAATAATAGCCAGATCTCCAGGATCCTATAAATATTCTTTCACATGTGGAAATCCCTTTAGAGACTTACATTATCTATATACTTTTAAGTTTGGGGGGTGCGTGGTGTGTAATCAGTTGCTCCTCACAATCCTAAGTGCAACTCATTGCCCCCCAGGGGTCCTATGCCTGTGCTATAATAAAGGCACCTTCTTGTACCGTAAGATGTCTCAAGAATTCTTTCTCCACGAACCCACATCAGTAACTCCACGTGCACTCCATGACACCACATCAGTAACTGCTAAGAGAGCGGTAATATGGGGTATTTAGGAAACACAGACCAGGGCTACGTTCTGATGGAGTGGGGGAGCGTATTATAGAAGGGCTGAGCCTCAGGTTAAGAGGGAATCCCGTTAGCTCCATGATTGGCTCAGTGATCCCTGCAGCCAGTTACACTGGTTAAGAAGCTGTGAGGGTTGAGCTTAGCCCTCATCATTCTCTTGCTCTCACTGGTTGGGTTCGTGCCTGTCCATCACTGTAGCCACCTGCCTCATGGGGCTCTTCAGCATCTGAGGTACAGATCATGTGAACTGAGATGTGCTGTAAATGTAAATTATATTGCAGATTTCAGAAATTAAGAATGAGTGTAAAAAAATCACATTAATATTTTTATATTACATGTTCAAATGATAACTGTCTTGGATCCATTGAATTAAAGTCTATTATTGAAATTAATTTCATCTCCTCTTACTTTTTTTTTTGTTAGTGTTGCTCCAGAAAACTTAAAATATTTAATTTATGTAGTTTAAGTTTGAACTAGGCTATGCTGGTCTAAGTCATTGGTTCAGCTCCAGTAGGAATTCTAGAATGTTGGAGTTCTGATGTGACCTCTTTAGAAGTGGACCCTTGGCTCTGCCACGGAGTCAGCCTTGCCCCACTCCTCAGTAACTAGGGTAAGCTTACACACGTGTAAGTAAGCTCTCTTAACACCAGGGTTATTTTAACTTTTAAAGTGGGGACAATAATGCTCATGAATTGTGAACATACACAATTGGTTTATATTTCCTATAAACCAAAGCTTATTCCCCATACATAATACATTTAAGCTCTTAAAATGTTTAAACAGCTCTGTCAAGGTGTCATTTAGAAATAATAAACTCTTAATGAACGTTATTAAGACACAAATTTATGGAGTGCTTCCTACTGCCAAGCCCTTGGTATGAATTCCCTACTGTAATTTTTGAGGCTCTAGTTTTATCGCCTTTGGCAAACCAGTTCACCATTCCAGGTCCTCATTTCCTCACCTCTGCACTGGGATGGTTGATCAGTAAATGATTTCTAAGATAAATTCTAGCTTTGACATCCTATGTTTCCTCTGAATTAAAAAAAAAAAATTAGCTCTCATATTTGTAATATTCCAAAGAGCTATTTCCAATGGTTGGTTTCTTTTTGTCATCTCTTGTTCTTGTTTCTCTGGTTGTATTTCTTCTTTCATCTCTCTAGAGATGTATAATGTTGGTTTGTTCTTAAATTTTTCTCCTACTACCTGTCCTTTCCTGTTTCTCTGCAATTCTTGTTCTTTTTCTCTGTAAGTTTGCTTCCTTTTTTTTTTCTTTACTTTTAAAAATTATTTTATGTTAGTCAGCATACAGTACATCATTAGTTTTTGGTGCAGTGTTCCATGATTCACTGTTTGCATATAACCGGGTGCTCTGTGCGATATGTGCCCTCCATAATACCCATCTCTGGGCTGACCCATCCCCCTACCCCCCACCCTTAAAACCCTCTATCTGTTTCCAGAATCTGTAGTCTCTCATGGTTTGTCTCCCCTCTGATTTCTCCCCCTTCATTTTTTCCTTCCTTCTCCTAATGTTTTCCATGCTATTCCTTATGTCCCTCACATAAGTGAAACCATATGATAATTGACTTTCTCTTCTTGACTTCTTTCACTCAGCATAATCTCCTCCAGTCCCATCTACGTTGAGGAAAAAGCTGGCTATTCAACCTTCTCTATCTTTTGTGTTAGAGACTTTCCCCTCCCATGTCTGGCCTTCCTGGCTTGCCCATTGATATTCAGGAATGAGACACTGCATGCTGACTGGAACCTCTGTCTTGATATTCAGGAATGAGACACTGAATGCTGACTGGAACCTCTGGGGGGGAGGGGAGAAGCGGTGGGGGACGGGTGTTGACTGCGTAGTGAGAGATGAGCCTAGTTTGTTGAGGTACCTCAGTGTCAGCATCTAGAGGTCTTTATTTGGAGAGGCTATTTTCTCAGAGAGGAAGTCTCCACATTCCTGCCTGATAGGTATCAGCCTGGCAATTGGAGTTCTGGAGGCTAATTGGGAATCCTTCTTGCCAGGTCTTACCATTTCAGTGTGGTGCCTTGCCTCCAGTTGGAGTTCAGTTGAGTTATTTCCTCTCTTCAGCCTCCCCTACTTCCAGCCGAGTCTCTACAGAACAGCAGCAGTCATGAGAGTATGTGCAATGGCTGTTGTTGATGAAGCACCAATTCCATTAAGCATTGTTCTAAGAGATTAACAAGGAATGTGTCATTTCTTCCTCTCCACTCTTGGGACATGGAGAGTTTAAGTGACTTGGGACATGGAGAGTTTAAGTGACTTGCTCAAGGTCACAGAGTCATGGATCTGGCACTTCCACCCAGAACCCAGGCTCAAAATCACGAGTCACTTGTCCCTCTGCTGTCTACTTCCCAAATTCTACCCTCTCTTGTCCATTGATGGTGCCTCTCCTGTTCTTGTCTTTGGGGATTTACTGCCATTTTAGCAGGATCGCAGAGAAGAGTGGAGATAATGTAAAGGTGTCATTCACCATATATAACCAGAGATGGAAATCCCTTTTTGGATATAGGTGGCCCTCATAACTGGTCACCTGACTGATGAATGGCCAGTGTGAGACTAAGGCCAGTCCCGCTGTCCCAGCTTCTGCTTCTGATCCCAGTTAGACGTTGTAGCCTCAGAAGCCCCAGGGAGCCCTAGTTCATATATTTATTGGCATCATAGTCAAGTTACCTAGAGCTGTTGCCAATAGCATCCACCACCAGGGAAATGACTGGCTAGGTTGTGCGATTCAGAGCATGAGACCATCTGCTAAAGGAGACAGAACTGGAAGTGTTTCACTGCAGGAGTGAGAAAAATCTCACATATATATCAGAGGCCAGAACAATTAACACCAAAAGGTAAATAGTGGATTTTGTTGGGTGAGGTTCCTACAGGTAATTCATGTTTTTTTCTTTCTGCTCACCTGTTTTGCAGATTTTTTTTATACTGCATGTCTTATTTAACAAGAAATGGTTAAGATGTTTAAAAACATTCACCCTTTGATTCAGCATTTCTGCTTCTTGGAAACATCCTAAGGAAATGATGAATGATACTGTATGTTAGGATTTAACCACAGCAATGTTCATTCCAGAGACATTTAGAAAGTTAGAAAACAGAAATGTCTAAAAAAGAGATTAAAGTTGGACTATGTAGTCAGTAAGATATATATTGAGGGGCACCTGGGTAGCCGACCCTTGATCTCTGCTGAGGTCTTGATTGCAGGGTCATGTGTCCAAGCCACACATTGGGCTCCACGCTGGGCATGGAGCCTACTTAAGAAAAAAGAGAATATATTGAAATGATGTACGTGGTACAATTATGTAAAGAAAACATACCTACAAAGTCTGTGCAACAGAATTCCAGTTTTTAATTTTTATTTTATTTCTTTAAAGATTTTCTTTATTTAGGAGAGAGAGAGTGAGAGAGAGCATGAGAGGGGGAGAAGGTCAGAGGGAGAAGCAGACTCCCCGTGGAGCTGGGAGCCGGATAGGGGACTCGATCCTGGGACTCAAGGATCGTGACCTGGGCCGAAGGCAGTCGTTTAACCAACTGAGCCACCCAAGGGCCCGAATTCCAGTTTTTTATTGAAGTATAATTGATATACCCTCATGTATTCATTTCAGGAGTACAACACTGATTCAGCAGTTCTATACTCCGTGCTCACCGTGGTAAGCGTAGTCACCATCTGTCACCATGTGATACCCTTATAATGTTACTGGCTATATTCCCAATGCTGTACTTTTCATCTCCATGAATTATTTTTTTAAAAAGATTTTATTTATTCACTTTGACAGCGGGAGAGAGAGTGAAAGAAAACACAAGCAGGGGGAGCAGCAGAGGGAGAAGCAGGCTCCCCACTGAGCAGGGAGCCCAATGCAGGGCTCGATCCCAGGACCCCAGGATCATGACCTGAACCAAAGGCAGACACTTAATGACTGAGCCACCCAGGCACCCCTGTTCTCTGTATTTAAGAGTCTCTTGGTTGGTTAGTTGGTTTGGTTTGTTTGTTGTTCATTTGTATTGTTTTTTAGATTCTAAATATGAGTGAAATCACTTGGTATTTTTCTTTCTCTGACTTATTTCTCTTAGCACAATACCCTCATGTTTATCTGTGTTGTGGCAAACGACAAAAGCCATTCCATTTTGCAGCTGAGTAATATTCCATCATAGGTATATACCATTTCTTCCTTATCCATTCATCCACTGACATACATGGGTTGCTTCCATATCTTGACTGTCAAAAATAATACCGCAACCTACAGGTGTATATCTTTTCTAATTAGCATTTTTGTTTTCTTTGGGTAAATACTCAGGGGTGAAATCACTGGATCATATGGTATTTCTATTGTTAATTTTTTGAGAAACCTCCATGCTGTTCTCCACGGTGGTGTACCAATTTACATTCCCACCAACAGAGCACAAGTGTTCCTTTTTTCTCCACATCC